TTTTGACAGAAAACGGGGCTGTCAGTTTTGTGAGTTTTTCTCAAATAATTCTCCTTTAATCTTGTTGTAATCCGAGAATAAGTTGTTCTTGATGATATATATGTTGTATCCCTTAGTTGAATCTGAGGAAGAATGATTGTGAACCCATTATTTATTGATAGTGGAAGTTTTTAGGTTGACTACGGTCCCGTGGTTTTTCCCGCATCGGGTTTTCCACGTTAAAAATTTTGGTGTTGATTTTGTGATTATTTGCATTATTTTCATCATTGTTTGATTCTGTTTTACTGCACAAAGAGAGAAAGAATTGAAACTTGTGAATTGTAATTGTATTCCGCTGAATTGATCCGGGTAAATTGATGTCTGATTGTTCCGAGTTTTCCCAATACTTTTGTCCTGCAATGCAGTTGTGTTGGGCCTATATTCCTCTGAATCTTATAATATTTCTTAGCACAAACAGAAATCTACCAAGAATCATCCCAAGTAGAACAATTAAATCAAAATGGCATAAGGACATGCATGAGTTCCGCGCACACAGGGGCAGGGGCAGAACACTTCCATCGAACATATTTAAGTACACACCATTTTATAATTCAAAATGACCATGCATACAGCTGCAAGGCAAACAAAGCTGAAAAACACCCACCCAAGTCCACTAGATACTAGACTGACTGAATCAGCTTAACCGCTGATCTCCCTAACATATTTGATCCAATAGTTCAGACCATCATACATATTAACAAAATAATACTTGCTGAGATAAATAGTGCTGGAAGAAGATAAGGACAAAAACAGAAGGTTGTGAACTTGTAACTATTAATGGGTTCACACGCACCTAAACAGAAGGGAAGGCAGCATTAAGGAACTCCTCGTCCTCAAGAAAAGTTTGGAGATTATTAGATTTCATCAAGAATTGAACGGCTTGTTCATCAAAATTCAGGAGGAAAGCCAACTTGATCAGTTCAGAAAGTGCTTTTATTTGATCTTCTTTATCCCATAACACCCCCCGAGCTATTACTTCAGAGAAAGAGGTTGCATATTCAATAAGATTTTTCTGCCCGCCAGCTTTATCCATCTTCTGTGTGAAAAACTTTGAACACCCTTTATCCCAGCGAATCATACGGCTTGCTTCCTCCTTCAGAGCTTCCCCATCAGAAAGCAATAAGCTATAGCTTACAGTAATTGGCTCCATAGTCTCCAGCACCTTAAGATTCAGGAGGCACTGGACAGCTCCATGCCTCTTTGTTGCTTCCATATCAAGAGAAGGATCTGCTAGAAAGCCAAGAATCAGTCTAATCAGCTCCTTTCCAATCCCAGCATCCCTCGAATCCATCTGACTAAGTTCTACACCATCTGCCAAAGACAATTCTTCCTTCACCACTGATTCAGATATAGTGCGAACCCCAATTTTCCTGTAGACTTCAAGCAACCTAGTTCGAGGCAAAGAAGGCAAGCTTGGCTGAGGACACCAGACAAATATCGGGCGCGATGAGAACTTCTCAAATAGGTCCTTTAGTAGAAGGTCATCAGCAATAAAAACATCTCTCTTGCTGGACAACAAAATTTCACCGGAGCCCGAAACAACAGGTAGCTTAACCAAATCATCAGCAAGGGTTCTCTCTGTCCTTGAGCTCCTTTGCATCACAACACACTCCCAAAAAGCACAGCACTCAGCATGTGTCAATGGTCTTCCTAAACTTTCCCAAACCTTCCAAAGCTTACAGTAATCATCAAATGAAGGATTGGATTTAACATTAAATGAACTGGAGAAGAAATGAAGTAATTTTGGCTTATAATGATTCTCCAATACATTCAGCTGTAGACCAAAGAGACCATTTTTGTCATGCAGAGCACATTCTTCTGGGTCAACCCACATTCCATTCTCAATTCCATCTGGAATCCAAATCTTTCTGGTAGCATCACTATCTGGTTTCCACTTATTTTCTCTCAGAAAATCATATACTCGAGCTATAGTGTCCAATTCAGAATGGGAATCAAGATGAATGGCAAGCAATGAGCAAACCTTTTCTTTATCAACTCCTATTGCACTCAGCTCTTTTGAATACAATTTGATGTCACAACCATAAAAATCTTCATCAATGAATGGTCCATCAGTAGGCCTCAAGTGGGAACCCCACTGGGAATTGAACAAACAGCAGTTACCCGGAGACCTGAAGCCAGCATGGGTCTTTAACCATCCACGAGAAATATTTTTCAGAAAAGCATCGGGAAAGGAGTAGTCCTTTTCTTGCAGTAAAGCACGGATGCATTCCAGTAATGAAAGCACATTCCCGGGAGCTATGTCACGTGGTTTTTGAGGAAAGCAAAGACCAGCAGCCACAAACTTCACACCGGCTTTAAATTCAACAACGACCCCCATACTCTTCAGCTCCTTTCGATACTCATGAATGCCATTCCCATAGTATTTGTCGCTGTCATCGATAAACGGAAGGCGAGTGATTGGATAAATCAACTCCCACTCGGGACCGAACAGAATACAATCCCTTGGAGATCTATAATCACCAAGCCGAGTCCGCAGCCATTTCACCTCGCGGATGCACTTCTTAAGATCGGAAGGAAATTTGTTTGGAGTTCCCTTCAGTTTTCTGTAGCATGATATGAATGAAAACACATTTTCCTTTGTAATGGAAGACAAAGATGCCTGCTTCATAAAAGTGTGAACAAACACTCTGACAGCATCCTCAAAGTCTACCTTTACTCCCAGCTCCTTCAACTCCGTATTGTGAGAGATGATGCTGCTTCCATAGAAATTACTATCAACCAACGGGAAACCACCAAAAACCTTTAGAAGACAACCCCATTCAGGATGAAACAAGAAACAGTCGCCAGGATGTTTGTAACCTAAGTTTGTCTTTAAGCATTTTGTACTTTTCACTGCATTAACTAGTTTGTGAGCAGAAGTAGAACGAGACATGCAATCCAAAACCAGAAGAAAGGCCTCCTTTGTCAGAGTAGATAAGCTTGAAGGCGCTTTAAAGCAATCAACAACCAATTGATAACTTCCATTGAAGCCAACTACAACGCCAAGCAACTGGAGTTCTGGTTTGAAAAAAAGGATGTGCTCGCCATAGTAATCTTCATCAATGAAAGGGATGTCACTAATTTGCCTCGCAGTTGTCCACTCCTGATCATATAGAACAGATCCAACCGGAGACCTATCACCCCAACATGTCCTTAGCCACCTTTCTTCTTTAATTCTGCCAATGAATTCATCTAGAGAAAGAAAATTCTGCCTCAAAAATTTGATGAAATCCAGTATGGAGATAACATTACTTTTAGTTAAAGCGGATGAAGCTGCCAAAGACATGAGATGGTTCCCGATAAATTTGCATGCCTCTCCATACTCAAACATGACCCCAACTGCCCGTAGCTCCTCTCTATACTCTGTAATTTTATGACCATAAAAACCCTGATCTATCAAAGGAATATCAACAAGCACAGATGCACCCTGCAAAATGTTTCCCCACTTTGAGCTTCTGTTGCCCGAAGCAAGTAGGAACGACTGTGATGGTGGTTTGTAACCAGGAGAGCCATTCATTGTAATTTTCAGCCAGCTACCCTCCTGTATGCAAGCCATGAACCTTGCTGGAATGTGAATTCCCCTCCGTTTCAGCTCACGAATCCAATCCAACAGCAGAAATGCATTTTGTTTAGTAAGTGGTGTTGACGCAGTAGGTATTCCAGCATTGGGGGGAGATATGTGAGGAATATCAGAAGCCTTAACATAAAATTTAAGGAAATTCATGAATTGGTTTCCCACCGTGCTTGTGCCAGCAAAACATGCAGGATGCAAGTAGTCTTCTTCTAACTCAACATAGCTTTCTCCACTCCAAGGATTAGAACCAATCAATTGCACCCATTTGCTTTCATTAGCTGGGACTAGAACCGCATTCCTTGCTTTGATCACATTGCCATAGCTATCAACAAGTGGCATCTTACCACACAAAGAAACAACTTCCCTTTCCGATAGATAGTCATTTAAGAATGAGTGATGTAAGAAGTGAGCATAGGCAATGACAAGTTTCCGGTCACAACTGACTTGATCTCCATAGCGAACTGCATAATCATATACGCTTAAATCTTCAATTTTAACTAGGTCTACAAGCCATTTTAACACCAGTTCCTTGTTAGATGATGAACAGATAGCTTCTTGTGTGGTTCTTGGCATAAAAAAAAGATTTGCCATGCATCGGAACTCGCTGTTCCAATCAATCAACCATGAGACACGAGAAGACTTCTGTGATAGGCACACAGTTTTACCATACCGTTGAGCAGATTCATTGACAGAGCACAAAGACACCCTCCCATCGGTACCCACATATTTAATTAGTGGAATGTTCCCCATTCCTGTGCTGTGAAACTCGGACTGCCAATTAACAGCAAGGAAATGAAGAAGCTCCAGGTATGTTTCCTCTGAGACCCCCATTACAATATTAGAGCCTTGAATGCACTTTACATACCACTCGCTGCTTACGGGTCTAACCCCCAAGAAAACCAGTATGTCATCATACTCTGGCTTATCAAATGAGGAATTCAGAACATAGCAACCATGGGATGAAAGTTTGTGCAAGCTCACTCCTTGCTCCCTTGTCTTCTTCAGTATATTCCAGAAAACAGGCATTAATCGGCCAACTTCACAAAAAAGGCATTAATCGGCCAACTTCACGTGGTTTATGAAAGAACTGTTGTGCTGTGTATGACTCACTTGGAATGATATCCTTTTCAGCCAGCTTTGCTTTAATTGATTCCCTCACTGAATTCAACTTTTCAAAGGGGGAGCTATGGACCGGCAAGAACTTGAACATTCGAGGCAAACTAGATGCTGGTGCACCATGCACTGTTTTGACTAATGAGACAAATGCTTCGATAAAAGCAAAGGGAACACAATCAAGAATTCCCTGGTTCCATATGTTGTCCCATCGTATTGTTTCCCTTGATGATGCTAGAATAAAATCTGCTTGAATTATGAAAGGAAAGTTGGTCACCATCTCAGTTGGAAGAAATGCATATATTCCAGGGGAGTACTCCATTCCCCTATGGAGCCGCTCTCCATTAGGAAGAGCCAAAGTGATCACCCAATCCTCCACTTCCATTCTCATGTCGACTTTGTTTTCCTGCCTGACAGGAAATTTCTGCTTCCACAAGTAGTAGCTGCATTCTTTTTCAAATTTATTACTGTTTTCCTCTGCAGACAGATGGAGTGTGTAGGACTCGGCATCAATGTTTTTCCTTTGCACGAAATTTGTCTCTTTGGTAATAGCTACTGCACTAACAGTGTTGAGCCTGGGATCCTCATTTTCTTCCCTGACAGAAAGGCATTTTATCTTTGAAAGGAACAGCAGGATTTCAGGATGAATACTCGACAGCTGCTTCTTCACGGGGTTGACCTTGTCAGGCTTCAAAGGCAAAATCAGTGTAGTAGTTGGGAGGGTAGAAGCGGAACCATAAATCTGTTTTATGTCAGAAAGAGATGGGCTATCATCAACCCATTCAGGAACTATGTATATCAACCCATTCAGGGACTATGTATCCAAGATTGCAGTGTGGACAGGGCTTTTCATTGAATCGTATCTGATAGCCATTGCTGAATATGCAAGGCTGAGCAGCTATAAGAAACACACTCTTGAAGCCAATTCCTGCATACCAAACCAAAACAAAGTTTATTAGAAGTGAATTGAAGATAAATAAGAGGTGCTGACAGGTTTCGCAAGTCTCACTAATGGTTACTAAATGGTACAGTTGCAAACCCTATCCACCTCTATCATGATTTATTAAGTTGCAAACCGTCTCACTAATGGTTACTAAATGGTACAGTTGCAAACCCTATCCACCTCTATCATGATTTATTAGCCAGCTCATGGTCATTCCATGAGCTCTCCATTAGTCCAGTATGGTTAATGCAGTAGTAGCCTGTGTTCCAAAGTTGAAAAGATCTTCTGTTCATATCTTTTCATTCTTCTTTTTCCAGCCCTTAATTTTTACTTTTTCTAAGTAAACTGATCTCTCCTGAACTACCTTTCTTGAATGCATCATGTCACAACCCATACTGCCATACATATGCTTTTCATGTTTGTGTTGTGCTTAGCTCAACGCCTTCGCAATTCAATGTTTAAGTAGACATGTTTACTAGGTTCAATTAGTTGAGTTTCCATACAAAACCACAGGGGTTTACCAGTTTCTAATATGCTTGGTTGCAAGTTTTTCATTTGTCGTTGAAGCAAAGATAGACTAAAAAACAAAATGTACTAAAACACCTTCAGAAGCAGGATCCCTGATCCAGCAGAAGCTATAAGACTCTAGCCAGTCACACAACCGAGAAACAACACGGCACAAGCAATAAGCTGGCAGCTCGGAAGTGCGCACAACTTATAAAATACACTGTTGCACGAGAAATTGAGCAAGGAAAAATACCTTTCTCCCCAATATAGCCACGCTTCCGGTTCCCTTTCTTAGTGGAATTTCCAACATTGCAAATGGACTCGATATTTTTGGCAGAAAAACCCTTCTCATTATTGAAGATGAGCAAAGTAGCAGGCGCACCAGTGTTTGTTATATCTCGAGATGTTATGACAAACTCAAGTGAAGGATCCACCCCTTCCAAGTATTCATTATCTTCAGCATTCTGTGAAAGGAAAATTCACCTTGGAATCAAAGGATAGTAAACTATGCATATTATATCAGATCAAAATAACTGCTACAAAAAATAAAATATCCAAAATTTTAACATGAAAAATGCACAATTTTTTCTTTATCAAATTCAACAAGTTATGATGATAGCAATCCATTCCTTCTTCATTTTTATTAACTGTTAAAGACCTTGAATGATCAAAATTAGGTAGCTTGATGACTTCATTTCAATTAGAAAAACAACAAGAACCCATTTTTTTATCGAAAGCCACAGCCTAAAAGAAAAAAAAAAAAGACAGTCATTGACTCAACTTGACTCTTAGCTTTTCAATTCAGTAAAACAAAAAACAACAGAAATTTGCAGCTTCCAACTTTAATCACTAGCAAAGCAATCAGCGACTACAAAATAAAAGGAGAAAGAATGGATCAAGGGCAAATAAAACATATAAAGTAAAACATGCAACATTGGACATACTCAACAGCATTGTCTGGTCACATTGATAAAAAAGAAAGAAAACCTGAATGAGTTCCATAAGAAAGTGGACATCTTTAGCGTAGAGTTCAGCAGAAAGATACTTGACAGCCTGATCAAGCATAGGAGCCAAAGGGTTCTTTTCTCCTCCTATTGAGAATGTAGTTTTCCTTATGTGCTCTATGTGTTGTTTTGGAGTTGCCATTGTTGCTCTTGCAAACAGAAAAGAAAAAACACCCAGAAACCGAAAAAGAAAAACACGAAGTTGAGTAGTTACAGTCGTAAAGAGAGATGAAAGCGGAGGTTTGGAAGGAAACAAGGAAAGCTCGAAAAGAGGAGATGGTAGCGGTAGCGGTAGTAGTGAGTAGTGATGTGAAGCGATATTGGCAGACTGGAAACTAAGAAGACTCCTTCATAGGGAAGGAAACTTGTACAGGTAGTAGTGGCGGAGGAAAAGGAGGAGAGGCATTCACTCGAGAAAAAAATAAAAGCATAGAAATATTTAAATAATAATTGAAAGAACCTAAAAAAATATGTTTTTCCTTATCAGTACAAATTTAGAAAATTAGAAAACTAGTTTTTTCAAGCATAGAAATATTGTATTTAAATAGGATGGCTTGGTTTCTCTTTTACTTGTTCCATAAAATTAGAGTATCTCTCTGTTTTCTTTACATCCATTTTCCTGTCATGTAAAATTTTTGGCATGATATAAAATAAAGGAGATCGTTCAAAAGAAAATTAAAATTTATTTTTATATCAGCATATTAAAACAATTTTAAAAATTTTAAAATTAATTAAAAAAATTAATTTTTTTTAAAAAAACAATTGAAGCTCAGTACCAAATAAAATCACCCACAAGAAGTTATCATAATGTACTTAACCCCCGTGCATTAAGGATTATAAGAGAGAAAGAGTACTGATCCCACCAAGGTTTCCATGAATCCAAGTTCGTAACTGTTGGAGCTGCTATGCTGTCAAACGAAGGATGCGATTCAAAAATTAAAATTAGTTGTTATAATCATGCTTTATTACTCAGAAACTATTCATGGTATTGTTTCATGCATTCCTTTTCTTTGTCTTGAGAAGAGCTTCATGCTTGTTGTAACAAGCTGAGGGAAATCTTCCCCTCCTCGTTCTCTTTAAGCATGAATAGGAAAAGGCTCGAAGGAAAAGAGAGGTGCTAAGTGAACTGAACCGCCCCATGCTGTGATCATCGAATTACCTCATTGGTACAAAAAGAAAACAGACAAGAGCTGATTCATGAGTGGACCTGCTAGCGAGAAAAGAACTCGGACCACGTGGAAGAGAGGAAAACTTGCTCGAGAAGTAGTGTAAAGCAGAGTTTTGAAAGCTGGGCCTGGCTTGACTTGGGATTAGGTTAATCCGGTATTGAAATTAGATCGAGTTGCTAATTGAACTGAACCACGCCATGTTGTGATCATCGAATTACCTCATCGGTACAAAAAGCAAAAAAGACAAGGGCTGATTCATGAGTGGACCTGCTAGCGAGAACAGAACTCGGACGTAGTGGAAGAGGGGGAAACTTGCTCGAGAAGTAGTGTAAAGTTGAAAGCCAAAGCTAGAAAAAAGAAAAGGAAAGGGCTATCAAATTTAAAGCATAGAAAAGTGGACTCAAATATTCGTTTTTCACTGTTCGGAAAGAGAGACTGGTCTTTAATAATTAATTGAATGGTCCTCTGTGATTCGACCGCACGAGGCAGTGCGTTTGCCTGGGCAGTTTAATATATCTTTAAAAATAATAAAAAAAAATTATTTAAAATTATTTTTATACATTTTTAGATGGTTTTTGACATATGACAGAAATTAGAGAAGCTTTGGGAGCCCATTGTATTCGGTGCTCGTAATATAGAAGAAACAGGATCCTTATTTTTATTTAAAACTATTATCTTGGACATTGGGAGTTCAGAAAAAAAAGTTTTGAACAAATTTTCCACTTAATATAAAATCGGGATCAGAAGTTTTTTTTAAAAAAAAAACAAACAGGCTCTGAACCTTTTTCTCAAGCTCGCCTTGCTGGTGTTTCTTTTTGCACTTTTTGCTTGGTCAAGAAAATGATGATTTTGTATCCTCTGTTATAATTAATTATTGGTCATCAGAAAGGAACCATGCTGTTCTGGCCCTTCAGAGTAAGGGAGCAGTTCATTTGATATTAATTTTTTTCCTGGTGGGTTCCTTTGAAAAATAAAGCTTTAAGCTTGATAAGGTTTGCCGTTGCATCCACTAGTTTTAGTATCCTCTGTGTCAAAAGCAGGCATGTGTTCTGTTTAAATTATGAATTCAGACCAATTTAATTTGTAAAAGTTGCAAATTGTGCAAGATGCTGGTTAATTTATATTTTTTGGTGTGCCTAATTGTATTCATAACATTTACCTTATGAAGGTATGAGCTAGGCAACCTGCAAAATATTTGTTACTGTGATAGTGATTGCAAAACAAATTTAAAATTTAAAATTTAATTTTAAAAAAATCTAAAAATATCAAAAAAATAATTAATTTGAAAGAAAGAAATTTTTTTAATTTTTTTTTTAAATACAAAAACAAACATGCTAATATTATTAGCCAGAACTCATGTAAAGACAGGCCATACAAAATCACTAGATCATTGACATGCGGGTCAGGTCAATGTTTCCTAATTCTAAAAAAAATTGTTCAGATATAGCAGCTGGTGGACTACAATTCTATTTGTAGTTGATTCAATTCTAGGTTTAGAGGGGTATTTGGAAAATAGTAGTAGTTGTAGCTTTTTAAATTGATTTTTATTTAAATATGTATTAAAATATTGTTTTTTTATTTTTTAAAATTTATTTTTGATATCAAAACAATTTAAAAATATTTTGAAGAAAAAAAATTTAAAACATTTTTTTGGATCATTTTAATGTGTTGATTTAAATAATAAATTTTAAAAATTAAAAAAAATATTATTTTAATGCATTTTTAAATGAAAAAAACTTTGAACAAGAATCATTATTACAATGCCAACCACTAATGTATTTGATATTGTTGTAATTTTTATAATTATGATTTAAAAAAATAGATTTAGAAAAATCTTTTTTAGTCATAGTTAATTGATATAAAATATATATTTGGTTGAAATTATGGTTGAATAAAAAATAATTTAAAAAAGTTTTGTTCAAATAGTTTTTGAAAACTATATTAATAATAAAATGACTGAATATGACACATATCACTTTTGTAGTTTTGAATTTCATCATTATACAATAAATTATTAATACATTATAAATATAATAATATGATATTAAAGTTTTATTTTTATTATTTTATTAAATTAACTGTAATTCTATTATAAATATAATTTATTCGAGAAGCCTTTCATATTCATGATTTATGAACATGAAACAATATTAGTTAAAAAAATAATTAAAAATAAAATAATTATGGTGCATCTTGTTGGTGTTCTACATGTTGGAATTTATTTATTGATTGATCCTCCCAATTCCGCCACTATTTTTTTAAGTTAACTAACACTAAAAAACCTGTGGTGCATTCTATATACTATGCCCGTGAGTATATACTAAGATTTGTTAAAATTTAATTATTTTTTAAAATTATTTTAATGCATTAATATTAAAAATATTTTTAAAAAAATAAAAAAAAATATTATCATAATATATTTATAAAAAAAAACTTTAAAAAACAATGTTATGATAATTTTAAACACTTCGTGTGGTTCAACCTCACAAGTCTTCGAAGCAAGAAGATAAAGGATACGACAGAGAAATTTGTAGAGTTCGTTTGTCTAAGTGGAAGTGTTTGTATTTTTTAAAAACACACCGATATATGTGTTTGGTTACCATATGCTAAAAAAATCAAAAATGCGAGTCCCACCATTTTATTAAGGTAGGATCGTGATTTTGAAAAAACAGTAAAATACTACTTCTTGCAAGTTCAACCACAGGTTGAACTTTCTAGAGATAACAGAGATGAGAAATTTACCAACTTATCCTCTTCTCTTTTGTTGCTCTTCTCGTCCGTTCTTCGCATTCGTTTTTTTTCATTACGCACAACAACCTTACAGGAAACCATTATTACTACACAACCAACGACAATTAAAGTGATGGTTGCGTCTTTTTCTTCACATTCAGTTATCATTCATTTCGCCTTGACAACAGAAAAACATGAACAACAACAACCCATTTTACTGCAATTAGCAACCCCAAAACATGAACATTGGGCGTGCTTCATTCAAACTCCATGGCTGAAATTCTTCTGTTAGTATTTAATTTCAGCCCTTATCAACATTTAATTTCTTATTTATATAGTTCATTGTTTGTTTAATTTTTCCTTGTATTGTCATCCATTAAGTAATAGATGGATCTGACATACATGATAAAGTTTATTAGACCAAGGCAATGTTGCACATGTTTTGTAACATTTGCATTAAAACAATTGAGAAAGGTATGAGACCAAACATCTATTTCGACAAAGCTGGGTGGAAATTTGTCATACAATCATTCAAAGATCATACATGACTTTCATGAACAAAAGCTCAATTTAAAAACAAATAGGATGAGATTAAAAAGGATTAGAGGGTATGGAAAAAATTAATAACTGAAACTGGAGTTGATCTACTGAACTTGGGACCATCTCAGCAACTGATGAGTGGTGGCAATAAAAAATTTAGGTTAGTTTTCATTATCAATAGCCTCACAAAATTATTTGTCATGTTGTATTATTTGTTAATGTACTATCATTGCTAAGTATGTCTAATTTTCATTACACAGGAAATGAGAAAAGTAAAGAAGTTTAGGCATGTCGGCATAGAGCTCTCATTGTGTGCCAAGTATGATATCATGTTTACTAACATAGTGACCACGAAAGAATATGCTTGGACTCCTTCACAAGGACTCTTATTAGATGAAGATAATGAGGATGCTACTGAAATAAAAAATACAACCAATAAAGAAACTAATATAGAAGAAGGAAATGACGACTCTGAAAAGGATGCAATCCCTGATTTCATACATGATGTTAGCAATATGGTTAGTGTTAATTCAGTGTCCTCGTATTTTATAATTCTAGATCTTGAATTTCAGGTTTTGATGCCAATGGTATTAAAGAATCAAGTATAATGTTCTTGATGTATTTTTTTATTGGGATGATGTGTACAATGAAGATTTATATTTTTGCATGAAGTCTTTTATGATAAGGTTATTTGTTGTTGTTTTTTAAATCCTTTTGAATGCAATGCTTTGTAATTTAAATTTAAACTTGGTGTGTGTTATTTAAACTTTGATGCTAGAGTCTTACTCCAAAAAAAAATTTATTAGGAAGGCTTGCAGCATATTGAACACAATATTGACACTAATAATATAACATAAATAAATATTTAAGGTCAAAAAATTAAATACATTATAGAACATTGTAATA